AGGTGCCAACCTCTGAACAGCAGGTTCCCTACGATGCAACCCGTGACCTCGGAAAAGCGCCCTCTGTGATGCTCCTGGCTGCCAGGTCGCGAATCCTGGACAAGATTATGTGGGGCTCTGGGTGGTACTCCTGGCTTTGCCTGTTTTGCCTGCGCCGCATCAGCTGGTTCTGGATACGAAACCAATGGCCTAGACCTTGGTCTCGACGACTGCAGGCAGCGGTATCATTCCCGTCGACTACGCTGCTGCATTGCACCAAACTGTACCTGCCAGGTGTTCCTCCTTGCCAACAACCTGGGATTCCGGATGCCGTGGACTATACGGTTTGTTGCCGGCTCGCCGTCGATGGGTTGCTCTTCTCTGAACCTCCATCAGCCACCAGGGGCGATGATGTTCGGCGTGTTCGGCAACTAACACGCTTGGTCCAACCCTGCGTCGCCTCCTCCGACAGGCTTTTGATCCTGACTATGCAGGGACTTGGACGCTTCGACCATGGGGTTGACTTGCTGTTGCTGCTTTGAGGGCAGGTTGCTTCAGCCACCACTGCCCCAAGCTTGTGTATTCGCCTCGTCCTGCTGCAGGCCGGCCCCGATCCTGCCGCTTGACCTCGGGGTTGGCGCGTCGGCCGGAGTTCGGAGCATTGGCTCTCCTGACCTCCCTTCAATGTCACAGACATCGGCTCTTGCTGACGCCGTAACCTCGGGCAGTTGTAGCTGCACTGCTGCAGACAGATGCCCATAAGTGTGGCCAAGCACCCGTCCGTGTGATTTCATGCACTGCTGCAGGTAGTGGCTGCTGGGGCCAGGGCTCAGGCTGAACATTTGGAGGAGGCGGTCGAGGAACTGGGCTATCGCGACCTGTGCGCCTGTGTCGGTGCAGGCTCCGACTTCAATGTCCCGAACGACGCCGCGACCCCGGATTGTTGGAGCTGCACTCTCCTGCTGGATCACGCAGGCTTGCTGCAGACAGAAGCCCATCAGTGTGTTGCCCGGAGCGTGTCAGCACATAGTGAACTTGGACGATCTTTGCCTTGAATCATCGGCCATGAACCGCGGCTACGTGGACTGGTCGGCTATGCCGAGTCTCCCGTCGGCGGCAACATGCGGACCGCTGCTGTCATAGCCAAGATCGGCACTGTTACTGGTCCCATGGCCTCGTCTCTCGGCGGTGTCAGGGACATTGGAAGGCGGTTCTTCTGTCACATGAAGCCGGATTGGCATGCTCTACATGATGATGTGAACTCCTCCCCCGAGCAGGCCACGATCGGCCAAGGCTCCGTCGCGGGTTCAACCATCCTGCCCGGGCAGCGACGGTCAAGGGGAAGAGTGTCCAGGGCGGGTCGCAAGAGGAAAAGTGCATCCATGGCTGCTCGTTTCTTATAGATGATGTTCGGTCATGTATGGTCACGTAGAGTAAGCGGATCAGGCATGACAAGCACAACATGTCATCACGAGAACCTGTAAGGGGATTGGGACTATAGGGCAAGGGATCTTACTGGTTGGTTCGGTTCAGCGCTGCGTCAAGTCACATATCCAGAGCTATGGCTCGAAAACCACGTCTTCGAGAAAAGATGTTTAGAGTGGCCCTGCGCGGCGCGGGCACGTGTCCCGGACCCAGCCAACCTTCGGTGTGTTTCTTATGGCTCATATACGTAGATAGTGGTCCAGCCGGAAGCTCTCCCGAAATAGGCAGCGAGGGAGGCGTCTACATTTGTCGTTCATACAAGAAAATAGCCGGGGGAGACTCAGTCACCACCCCCAGCATCCACCTATATTTGCATGTTTGGATCGGGTCATGTCGGACCCGGAGTGGGGGAACGTCGGAGCCCACAAGAAAGGCTGCGGAGCAGGCTTCTCTGGCTGGGTATTATATAGCCCAGTAGTAAGGCGACACTCAGTGACCCCGCCCATCCTCCTCCTATTTCCCAGGGCGGCGCCTGCCGAAATCCCGGAAGCTGCGGCGCCGCTGCAGCACGTGTCCCAGAATTAGGCCGAACGGGTCATGTCGGGCCCGGAGTGGGGAGACGTCCGAGCCCACAATATAGGCTGCGGAGCAGGCTTCTCCGGTTGGGTATTATATAGCCCAGTAGTAAGGCGACACTCAGTGAACCCCCCCCATCCTAATCCTATTTCCCAGGTGGCGCCTGCAAGAATCCCGGAAGCTGCGGTTTCGGTCAAGTCGGAAGAGCAAGCACGTGTCCCGGACCTGATAGCTTGGACAACCCACAGTCCCGAAGTTAGGCAGCGAGGGAGGTCTCGGTGTGTGTCTTCATATAGGAAAGTCGTAGGGGGAGACTCAGTCACCCCCCCCCCCCCAGCATCACCTATGAATGCTTGGATCGGCTCGTAGCGGGAAAACGTGTCCCTAGATGTCACTAGTATAAGCTGCGGAGCAGGCTTCCTGGATCGGTATTATGTAGGAGAGTAGTAAGGGGACACTCAGTGACCCCCCCCGGCCTCGTCTTATTTCCAAGCCTCTAGCAAACTCTAGCCGATCCCCAGCTTCTTTCGGTATGCGGTAGGACCGCAGGATCCTTAAGTACAAAGCACCTAGCCCGTCAATCCAGCCGGAAACCCCGTATTTACTCTCAAGGTCTATGAAGCCGCCATAGCCAGGTCAGTGATCTTGTTCGCGCTCACGTACGAGATCCGTGGCAGTGCTTCTGGGCGGATGTGATCCTTCAGCTGGAGGACCACCTGGGGGCGGTGAGGGCGGTGTGGGCGGTGAGGGAGCGGGGGGGTCCGGGCACACATTGGCAGCCTTTAAATACTTTCAAAACACTGACAAAGGCCTCTAGGAAACCTAGCAGTAGGGGCACCAAGGGTGGTGGCCGTGGTCGAATAGTGGAGGTGGTGGGGGGGAGTGATGGGAGTGGCACGCCGTGGCAGCCTTTAAATACTCTCAAAACACTTAAACAAGACTCTAGGAAACCTCCCGGTAAGCGCACCAGGAGTACTCGTGGAGGTGGACTAATGGGAGTGCTGGGGCCAAGAACTGGTAGGGACAAAAAGCCGTGAGGGCGGTGGGTCGTGTGAAAGCGAAAAGGGTCGTGACGGTGAGGGGGAACCAGAAACTGATAGGAACGGTCGGGGCGGGGTGGCGAAAGTGCTAGGGGTGCGGGGTGGGGGGGGGCACGACGGCCCACTATTCGACCACGGCCACCACTCCTGGTGCCCCTACTGCACCAATGCTGGTGCCCGGCCTGTGTCGGTGTTTCCGCCCGCACCGCCCTCGCTGCCCACCCGACCAAGGCCCCGCCCTCACCGCTCACCTTCACCACCTCCACCTTTACCGTCTCCACTAGTTCCTGGCCCCCACTCCCACCACCCTTACCACGCCCACAGCGCCCCCACTGCCCCTCACCACCCTCACCATCCTCACCGCCCCCACCACCCCCACCACCCCCTCACCACCGCCTTCATCCCCACTTCCACCAGCCTCAACACCTTCACTATCCCACCAGCCTCACCGCCCCCACCACTTGCACCGCCCGCTTTTGTAAGTGTTTAGAACCTCTCTCAGCAGCCTCACGACCCTCACCACTCTCACCACCCTCACCGCCCCCACCAGCTCCACCGCCCCCTCATCATCCTCGCTTATGTAAGTGTTTGGAGAGTATTTAAAGGCTGCCAATGCATGCCCGGACCCCCCCGTGCCTTCACCACCCTCACCACCCTCAGCATCCTCACCACCCTCACCATCCCTGCCGCCCCCACGCCCCCTCACCACCCCCACCACCTCCACAGCCTTCACCCCCCACCCCCACCACTTCCCAGCCTCAACACCCTCACTACCCCCACCACCCTCACCGCCCCCCCCACTTGCACCGCCACCTCACCACCCCCGCTTTTGTAAGTGTTTAGAGAGTACTTAAAGGCTGCCAATGCGTGCCCGGACCCCCCCGCAACCTCATCACCCCCACCACCCTCAGCACTCTCACCACCCCCCACCACCTTCACCGCTCCCTCCGCGCCCCCGCTTTTGTAAGTGTTTACAGAGTATTTCAAGGGTGCCCATGCGTGCCCGGACCCTCCCGCGCCCTCACCCTCCCACCAGTCTCACCACTCTCACCACCCTCGCTACCCTTACCGCTGTGTAAAACATACACGAACAAAACGTGTAACGAAAATGTCCCTTTTTGTGCGGGCATTTCACTATTATTTCCCAGCTGGGTCGTGTTCTTCCCCTATTTCCATATCGTACTTATTTAGTATTTTTTGTACCAATCCTATTTTCGTTTGTATCTGGTTCGTATTCATTTTGTATTGTTATCCTAATTTAATTAAATGGATGGCTCCCCTACACTTCCAATGCTTCGCCGTCATCAGTCTAGGGTCAACTTGTGTCTCAGAGTTTGGTTTTCAGCGACAAGCAGTTGTCAATTTGCCCACGCGCTCGCCGCGCTGGCCGATGTTGAGCTCGAACAAACACATACCCCAAGGCTCCTTCCTTTTCAGGGTCGGCGGCACTGGTGGCAGCCATTAAATCCGGCATGGCC